ATGTACTCTTAGAAGCTCGCAGTTAGCTTATGGGTATTATATTAAGAATTAATTATGGATATTGATGGAAAAATGCAAGGATAATATCAAATTACGATTTGTGTTGGAAATATAATATGATGAATGTTAGCTAATAATTATAAGATGAAATGATATTTGAGGTGATAATATTTTGAGAATTTTAGATTAGCATCCGAGGCTTACTTAGGTCGAAATGAGCCTCATGGTTCTCTCAATTCTCGCATCGATCATGGCCCACTCCCGAGGTCTTGACATGTATTTTAATGTTTGCAATTTTATGGTTTCATTTCCTATTTATTTAGAATTTATTTATCATTTAGCTATCATTTTAATTATTAATGTGATTAGTTTCATAATTTAATTTTTATGCTTAGTACCCTTTGGTTATTTTAGTATGAAATTTTGACGATTTGAACCCATGCCGATACTTGGTATATATATTAATTTTAATAATTTTTGGAATGTATTTTCTATTTGCTTGTAATTTATTCTCGTTGTAATTGTTAATGTAATATATTTATTGTTTAGTTACTATGATGAGGGATCGTAAGTCTCCTAAATTCTAGAGACCGATGACAATCCTTCATCAAATTCATCATGCAAAAAAAAAAAATGCCATCTTAGGATAATTAAGAAATTCGAGTCAATCTAATGAGTCTCACATTTAATCGGGATGAAAGTTAGTCTCAATACCTCGATAAAAAAAAAACAAAAGAAAAAAAGGAACGAAAAAACCAATTAAGGTAAATACAAGTTAGATATCATTGTTAATTAGGTATTTTCTCAACATGTCAATCATGTCGGGACTTAATCGGATTTGATACTAAATTGACAAGACTCCTAGTTCGAGTCTAACGCCAATTTAATACAATGCCACAAAAAAAATTAGCTTAAATAATAAACAAACTTGGAAATAATTTAGCAAAATAAATTCTTATGAGATACATTTTAGGATTAAACCAATCATTGTATCTTTTTTATTTTGGATAAAGTGCCTTTGGGTGATCGATATGTTCCTAAAAATATAACTAACTCCTTACCCATAATCTTTGAATCCAATGTTTTCTTTAGGGTTTCTAATTCCTTTAAATGCTAGGTGGCAATTCCAAAACATATGTTAACTCTTGTCTCCTAAAATAAACCAAAAACAAATCATTTTCATAATTTTTTGAATGTCTCCTAAATGTCGAGTAGCAACAATAAGGGTTATATGTTTTCCAACAAGTTTTAGAGGGAATTGTTTGCTTATCAATAGGTCTCATTATATTTTTCTACTACTTATCACCCTTAAACCGATGGGTAGACAAATGTAGTTAATAGATGCTTACAAATCTACTTAAGATGTGACTTTTGATATTCCTAATGCATGGTGTAAATAGTTATGCCTAAATGAATTTTAGTACAACACTATTTCATATATCTATTCAAGCAATCTCCATTTGAAGCACTTTATGATTACCTTCCTCCCATTCATCTTTTATGTTTGCCTAATGATTGTAAAGAAACATAAGTAAATGAGTTGTTGCAAGATAAAGAGAATGTTATTGGAGTACTTAAGCATCATTTGGTTAAAGCACAATAGAGAATGAAAATGCATGTTGATAAGAAGCGAGTAGACAATTTTTTAGCTTAAAGATGCAACCCTACAAGCAACAAACAAGTGGTGTCTAGAAAAAAAAACCAAAAATTGTCTCCTCAATTTTTAGACCTTTCAAGATTATTGATAAGATTTGGGAGGTTGCCAACATAGTACACTTACCCCTTTATACTTTTATTCATCCAACTTTCCTTGTATCTCAGCTCAAACATGTTATTGGAGCAGCTTTTTGTGCAACTAGACTTACTTGAGTCTTCGAATGTGCCACTAGTTTCGGTAGCCATTGTAGACATAAAAAAAATGGTTAAGATGGATAATCGAGCTATTATTAAGTTACTTATTCGAGTGGTCTAATGGCACTAATGATGATGCAACATAGGAGTTTGCATTTGACATTAAGAAACGTTCTCCTCGCTTTAACCTTGATGACAATGTGTCTTAAGAGAAAGGGTATTGATGCAATCCTTTTGATAATAAGTCGGCAAGTCGGCAATGAGTCGACAACTTAATTGCAAGTGAAGCGAGATAGTTGCGACTTAATTGACAAGAGGCATTGGTGTTTTAGTAACTAAAGAATTAGTTAGCCGATTAGTTGGTATTTTTAGTAGATAGTTGAGTTTGTTAGCTAATAAAAGAGAGTGAGAAGAGTGTGCGGGAATTAGTTATAAAGTTAGCGAAATATTTTGCCTCTTCATGCTTCTAAATTCTCTCTAACTCATTCCGTATTCTTCCTCTCTCGCAATTCTTCTTCCTTTTCAATCAGTTTCATGGTTATTGTTCATCATTTGTTTTCATTAATTGCATAGTAATTTAACTATTATTTTTACATTTGATTTTGAATAAGAATTTTTGGTTTTCTATGTGTTGTTTTAGTAATTTATAGTGTTCTTCGGATGATTAAGAATTAGAGTTGCATCAAATTATTATAAACATTTTATACACTCTCCAATAGTTAAAATACAATTTGAGTATTTCTCTATGATACCCAAAAAAAAAAAAAAAAAAAAAGGTAAGAATCCTTAAATGAAAATGATTAGTAATTAACTAATATGTAAATGCATAATTACTAACGATAGTAGATAAAGGTGCATTTCTTCCACTCTTTTGGCAAAATAAACATGCAAAAAAGGGATCTGAGTTGATTCGAGTCAATACCCCAATCCGAATTTTTATTTGGCTAAGGTCAACCTCTCTCCCACTCAATGAATGACAACATGGTTGGGTAAAACCTGCCATCATCGCCAGCCCACTATCTATCACAGCCTCCATCCCCAACGGCTCCACAATTTTATCACCTCCCTTACATACCTCAGCCAAACCCACCACCCATAACAATATTTTTTTTTTTTTATCATGCATATGGCTGTTCTTACTTAATTATGTCACATTTGACCAGTTTCATGCTCTCTTCAGTAATTTTCATGGTGGTATTAGATTTAGATACGAGTTAGGGGAAAAGGGAGGGGAGATAGAGAGAGGAAAATGGTTCCTAAAGGGAAATGAGTCTTTAGTGTTATATATAATTAGGAGAAACCTCTGTTTGGTATCAAACCTATATGCTCAATATTATCAATTGAAACTTAACCGATAAATTTTACAATTAGATCCCAAACATTTTTTAAAAAATTAAACAATGTCATCAACATTTTGGTCAAATTTTCCTCAAATTGATATCATTTTAGTGCTTAAATATACATATTAGATTAAAAATATAAATATTTATTAACTTTTCTATCAAATTTTGTTCAAATCAGTATTGTTTTAACCCATAAATTATATACATTACACTTAGACTATTATAAGAAATTAATAAAATGACTCAATTGAGAAATATAGGAATTGTTTGGAACCTAATTGTTGAAAGTTAGAGGTTTGGGTTATAATTAAGTATGAGTTTATAAGTGGGACTAAATTGAGGCTCCTTCTATTATTTATGTGGAGGCTATTTTCTTTTTCTTTTTTTTTCTCAATTTCAATTTCACTAAGATAAGTGGACTAAAAGGCCAGGCGTCTCCTGAAATTTAATTCATTTAAAATCAATCTTTAAATTTTTAATTGCATTTTGATTTCTTTAAATAAATTAAATAATAAATATAACTAGCTACAAGTACGAACCCAACACGTGAGTATCAATGGTAAACAGTTGGAAACTACCGTAAAACTAAATAAACTCGAGTAAATTTATAAACTATTCCTTCTAATTTGATCTTTTTTATTGTTTTCTAATTTTTTTTTAATAGATAGTATGGAATAATTCATGAGAAAATAATATATTTTTTAAAATAAAATAATATTAAATTAAGTATGATTAATACTGATAAACAAACCAAATAATTATTTAAAAAAAAACAAGTGTAACTAATTATTTGTTCTCAAAACTAGAGAGACTAATTTATAATTTAATTAAATAAAATCATCAAATGACATAGCAACCAAAGAGCTGGAGGGGCCGGTTATGAACTGAAAATTTTAATTTAGTCTCTAGAGTTATAGATTATTCAGTCATGTCCTTAAAAATTGTAAAATATCCCTTCCAATATTTATGAAATTAGAGTTTAAAAGAGTAAATGAAAGGCTTGTAAGAATAAAAAATGAACTGATCTAGCATATGAATTTACTTATTTTCTTATTTAATGCATATTTATATCTTTTATATTTGAAAAAAAAATAGTAATGGAGCCATTAATTTTTTTTTCAACGATAGAGACTCAATTATATATATGCACTATTAATAAAGTATAGTTCAAACTAACTGGTTACCTATGCTATGTTGGAAGTCGGTTAGAATAAAATTATTTTAAAATTTTAAAATTTTTAATGAAAATTTTTTATTTAATTTTTTTACTTTTCATAAATTTTCTAATTAAAAAAATATAATTTATTCTTTTTTATGCATTGATTCTTAAATAAAAATTTATAATAATTTAAACTGAAATATTAATCAAGATTTTTTATATAAAAAAATACTTTAAAAAATATATTTTTTCATGAGCATGTATCTAAAAAATAAAATTATAATTAATATATAGATTTATGTACAGTATTTGAATAATTGAATGGTTACTTTAAATAATATTTTAATTATTTTATTTTAAAGAAATTACTTCTATGATATTATATATATATATGCTATTAACAAATTAAGTTTAGTTCAAATTGGCCTTGCAGACTTTACATCCTGGCTTGGCCATGAGCCAATGCCTAGATCTATGATGACTTGGACTTGACATTCACATGCATGGAGGCAAGCTACATAGAGCCGAGTTTCGCATATGACAACAAAAGTATATATGCGAAGTGAGGAACAGAAGGACTGAACTCCATAGATTCATCCAAGAAGTAATAAGCTAATGAGAGGATGGGTGAGGCATTAAATAATGACCCACCAATCACCTTGTACCAGCTTAGATGACCTCACAACCGCTGCTTCAAAATCCACACCAGCTCATATTTAAACAACAAATTCAAGTTCAAATTTGTCAAACCAGACAACTTCTCATATATATATATATATGATTGCTGTCCAAGAGAAATAAGATTGCTTGACCAAAGTCGAAACATTAATATTTAGAAAGAAAATCCATATTAATTGCACCTTGTTTGAATTATTTGTAATCATGAAGCGACCAGCCGGTTGATTAAGGCAACTAACTTATTGGATTTTCAAATCAACAACATCAGAAAATAAATCCAAGATAGATCAGATCAATAAGAGAGCACTGGGGATGTTGGTTTTGCAACGGCTGTTTTCGAAGGTAATGGGGGAGACAATGGCATTAATAGTGCCACACTTCCACGTCATTTGTGGGTCCATTTCCAGGATTGCATAACGCCAAGTGTTGAATTCTATAGCATGCCCTACCTATGCTATGAGACAGGATTTTGGAGTTACCTTTGTGGTTTCCCATTCCAGTTGTACCGGGACCCCATATACATCCCAACAAGTATACATTTCATACAGACTTGTTGCTAACTATATTATAATACAAAGAAATCTTTCATTTATGCTAAATATGGATTCATGGGCATTGTTTTTTGGCCAAGATTTGCAAGCTTATGGCAGAAGATCTAGGAATCTATAAGATTCATCAACTGTTCAATCATGGAGATTTATTTAAGCCTGGTCCCAACCTAAAGCATTTTCCCTCACAACTTAACTTAACCTCACATGATACACCAGACTACAAGTTGTTACGTGGCTTATGTATAAAATAGTTTTCTTCTGCACATGCACATTGTCGATAGCTTTTTGCAATTATGATATGAAATCCACAGATTTAATAGCGGCATTTTTTTTTTTTTTTTTTGCAAGAAAACAAATACCAATCAACTCTAGCAAAGTAAAGTAAAGAAAAAAGGAAACGGAAGAAAAAGGACGGATGTACTTTTTTTTCTTTTTGGTATTTTATTAATGGGGGTTAAAAATCCCTAAAAGCAAATGCAATTAATCAATTTATTTGGTTGTTGGTTTGTTAATTTAATTTACCAGATAATTGATTTGGGTTTGCTAACTATGTGTTCAGGGGCTTAATGCACTTGCATCACATGGATGAATTACTGGGCTCCTTCAAAGAAAATGTATGACATTTGACATGCTAATTAATTAAGACTTACCCACCTATTTTCTCAAAAAGAAATCCAATAGACGCATATATATATATTGCTAGAAGTCCATCCACGTACAGTGCAACTACATGACCTTGAAAAGAATGTCAAATAGACGTCACAGTAGCCAGCTATAGCAGATGTGATAGTATTGGGATCAAAGAATCTCGAGGGAACTAATTTTTTAATATTTATTTTACTCCAAACTTTGAGAGTGTAGATAACAAGAGTCTATGTCACACATGCATGGAGACACCTTCTCAACTTGATTAACTATATTATGCTCCATAAAAACCGATCGGTCCTCAAATGAAAGGAGAAAAAAAAAAAAAAAACTTAACCATGGATAAGAGGTTTAATTTGTCACAATTACCCGTGTAGGTGTATATAGAAAGTTAATAAAAAAAATTGGAAAAGAAATCAAGACGATGAGAATCCTATATTATATAGGATTGAGGCTGATTTGGTGTTGTAGTTGGATGGATTCGGAAGCTTGCAAACACGTAGACAGCGTTTTCCAAGGGATTGATTTAGCTATATATTTGTTTTGTAAATCACGTGGAGTAATGTAATGCACCCCGGCCTGGTCTGCAAGGGTTTGCATGTGCCCACAATCTACAGTAGATATCATATTCTCTACATCTCTCTCCACTAAACTTTGTCTTCTGTTTTTTTTTTTTTGGCCCTTTCCCATTTATTATATAATATTGCTTAAGTACGTCACTCATCAAATCACACCCAATCAACAGAATCCCTTGTTTTATTCTCTTCCTTACTCGCATATATTTGCTTTCTTATTACATTCACATGGGGTGATATTAAAAGATTATTTAGAAGCCCATGGTCCCAAGTACACAATTTGAGTTCTCGTGCAATTCACTTCTTAACACAATTGATCAAAGTCAACAATAAAAATAAAAATAATCGAGAATAATTAATTAGATTATATTGAATAAGAGTAGTCATTTCCAAGTTTACTATAATATTACTTTTATGAATAAATTATAAATTAGTTCTTTTATTCTTTAGAAATAAATTAATTAGTTTTTTTTTATTTTAAAAACTAATTATTTATTATCTTACTTATTGTTTACTGCACATAATTTAATATTATTTTAATTTAAAAAAATATCATATTTTCTCATCCTTCTATTTTTTTATTGTTTTGTTTTTCTATTTCTTAAAATAAAAAATAAATAGAAAAACGAAAAGAATTATGTTAAAAAAATTAAAAATATAAAGACTATATAATTAATTTTTTAAACAAATAGGACTAATTAATTGATTTCTCAAAATTATAGAAAATAATTTATATTTTAGTGTTATTTTTATTCTAGTATAAGATTTATTATCTAAAGAACTAAACAAGAATACTTAAAATGATGGAGAATTGTTATATCCATTGCATTGTTGTACAAAGGTTAAATACAAAAAGAACTCACCAAATAAGGAAGATTACATATGCTACTTCTAAACTTATGAACTTGCATTCATTGCTATTAAACTTATGGAATCACAATTATGTTACCGATTAACATGATCAAGAGATTATGAGTCGATGATGTGGAATCGTGATTCAATGGAGGATTATGAGCTAATAATGTGAGATTGGGATTTGATGAAGGATTCTTTCTTGATATGCCCCTAAAAGATGGTGGTATCGACCTTGGTTTGAAGTGTGGTGAAGCGAGATTTCAATAAGGGTTTGTTAAGAGTTTTAGAGAGTTGATTAATGATGGAGACACAAAAGACTTGTAGATAACCACTAATGACTTTTTCATGCATAAAGTGATAGTTCAATGCAATAAGCTTCATTCGTAATAGGATTTGCACATAGCTAAGTTGCACCAAGATTGTCACATAAAAGGTATGGAGCGCGCGAACGTGCACCTAAAGTTTAGTCTTAAGGTTGTTAATCTAAAGAAGCTCATCAACAAGCAGAGGCAACATAGAGTGATATTCGACCTTAATAGGCGATCGAGCAACGGTACATTGCTTTTTATAACACCAAAATATTAGGTTTAAAAGCGAGATATGGAAGTACAATCATCTTGATTTTCTACCCAATCAACATCGAGTAAGTAGTAAGATACATAGATTATGTACGATAGAGGTTTAAGCCAAAATAGATGGTGTGTTTGAGATAGCAAAGTAATCTTTTGTAGCTATCCAATGATTTTTCATAAGCATACATGTACCGGAAAAGCTTATTAACTACATAGGCGATGGCTAGACGGATCAAGCCTAAATTTTGCAATCTCCTAATTAGGCTCTTATATTAGGTGGCATCGATTGCGATCGTTCCATCATTGAGAGCAAGCTTCATGGAGAAGCTCATTAAGGTGAAAATTTCTTTCATACCTTCTATTTTGAATTGATCAAACAGATTACAAATGTACTAGTATTGAGAAAGGAACAAATCTTATGTAATGGGAATGATGTCAACTCCAAAGAAATCATACAGGTGATCTATGTCTTTTATAGAGAATCTACTAGTAACATCATTAATAATATGTCGAACAAAGGATTGAGAGCAACGTATAATTAATAAATCATCAACATAAACTAAAAAGTAAACTATAAGAGAGGCAATAACATATATATATATATATAAAATCAAAGTTTGATTTTAGAAACCTAAAAATTTAAGCTATTAGATGAAGTTTAAAGATATGATTTATATTATTCTCTAACATACTCCCTCAAGTAAAAGCTCTTTGGGCTTGAAATTTGTATAAACACATTACTTTGTGCTATTATATTTTCAATTAGAATAGAAAGTGAAAATGGTAAGTTTCAAATTCTTGACCATTAGATTAGCAAAGGTTTTAATACCATGTCAAATAATTATCTCAACCTAAAAGTTTAAATTATTAGGTGAACTCGAAGATATGATTTATATTATTCTCTAGCACACCCCTTAAGTGAAAGTCATTTGAGCTTGAAACTTGCACGTATCTATGCTAGCTTATGCTATTATAAATTTAATTATAAGAGAACGTAAAGGTAGTGAGATTTAAACTCTTAACTCGTTAGGTTAGTAAAGCTTTGATATCATGTTAAAGAACTATATCAACCCAAAAGTTTAAACTGTTAGGATAGGCCTTAAGATATGATTTATATTATTCTCTAACATATGAAAAATAATGGAAAATTAGGTGTGTGAGTGAGAATCATACTTTGTAGCACCTTGATCCATAGAAAGAGCAACAATAATATCACCTAAAGATCTTGTTTCACGTGGTCCTCAATCAATAAAGATACTTGTAAATGTATTGTTTGTAAAATCATAGGGAAGTGAAAGGTTATGACGAGGATGTAATAGTGAGTTGATGTGGATGAACTAAAATTAAAAGATGAATTGATGGGTGATAAAAATATGGTATTACGTAAGTTGGACATAATTAATGATGGATTTGGTAAAGATGAAATAATAAGTGATTGTGATCGTGATTCGTGAAAGAATCTAGATAGGAAAGATTCAAAGAGATCCCTACTCATTTGGAAAGTATGTGGTCCTTGACCATGTTTTTGTCATGAACTATTGATAAAGATGGAAATACATCTTCAACAAATCAAATATGTCCGGAGAATAAAAAATTATGTTGGATTGGTTCTAAGAAAATATATGAATTATGAACATTAGAATACCTAAAAAAAAAAAAAGTTTTGACTACTATTCTAAGTTGTGCTTTGTGTGTGGTCGAAGCCACGAATAACACAAATATCCAAAGACTTTTAACTTAGTATAATTTGGAACTTGTTAAAAAAAGACGTTCAAATAATAACTTGTTGAGAATTGGTGTAGATAGGTGATTGATAAGGTAAACACAAGCTTAAGGATGGCAATGCACCAAGTCTAAAATGGATAGTCGTTTTATCCGACTTAATAAATACCCATTAAGAATGTGCAATAGGTATTGAAGTTGATAAGGGTAAAACAAATGTATACTCACTAATATGGTTTCAAGATATGGATACCCACTCTTTACCCTATTAATACCTATTAATTTATTTAAAATTTTTTTAATTAACATGCAAGGATCTAATTACATAAAATTTTAAAAATTAAAAATTAAAATATTTCTTGACAACTTCAAGGGCCAAAAAACTTATAAATAAATTACCGTAATGCAAAAAAAAAATAATAATAATTATAATAAATTTTAAGGATAAAAAAAATTTTCTTAAAAATTATAGGGACTAAAAAGAACATTTTTGATAAATTAAATTTAGCAGGTATTTAATGGGTATTAAATAGATGGTAAACTAAATGGAATGGGTCAGGTAAAGACTTATATGGTTATTTCTTAATGAGTAATAGGTAGGGTATTCTTTTAATGGGTAGGATAAAAAATTGAATTAATGGGTTAGATACCCACCCATTACCATCTCTACAAAAGCTTGAAAGGCATATGTCCAGAGAGAGAGTTTAAGTGTGGCTTGGTGTAAAAGGCTAAGACATGTCTTAATAATGTGCATATGATATCGTTAGATAGAGGTAACATGTTGAGAGGTGTAAGGTGGAGAGATAAGGTGTTGGATACTATGGTAAAAAGATAATATTTTAAGACCTTAATATTATTTACCACCATCGAATAAATTATGTTTATTGTTGATTTGAAAAACTTTTCAACCATGATTTTGAACTTAGAAAAAAGATTGAAAACATCATCTTTGTTTTATGATAAAGGTATAATGATCGATAAAGATGATATAGTAAAGAAAACCATCTATTGAAAAAAATTAAAAATGGACCCCAAATATCGGTATATAACAAATCTAAAGAACATTGACTTTTAAGAATTGAGATACCAAATGGTAACTTGTACCTTTTACTACATAAACAAGAATCATAGAAAGATAACTTGGACTAACTTGACTACACATAAAGTTTATCCGTAAAGACAACCTAACTAAAGATTGGTGATGATGGATGCCAAAATGGTTGTGCCGATAATCAAGGGTAGTTTTTAAACCAAAACACGGTTGTTTCTCCATAGGTTGAGTTTCCCCGATGCTTGACCATTTATAGACATTGTTTTTACTCTCCTTCTACAAGCCATGGAGTAACCAATAAATTGTGCTTTTCATGATAATTGTTTAAGGCTAGTTTGATAGGGAGTTGAGTTGAGAACAACAATACTTGTTTAGTTGGAAGAAATAGTGATGACATTATTACCGATCCGATTATAGTTGAGGATTTAGAGTTTGTATTGCCATGAGTGGGATAAAAAAAAAACCAAAAAAATTAAGGAATTAAGTAGAAGTACAAGTCTAATATTAAGACATTCGTGAGAGTCTAAATAGCTCTAATATCATAAAGGACTAAATAAAAATACATAAAATGGTGGGAAATTGTTATATTTATTGCATTGATGTGTAAAAGTTAAATACAAAGAGCAAATCACTAAATAAGGAAGATTTCATATACTATTTTCAAACTTATAAATATGTATACATTACTTCTAAACTTATGGAATTACAATTAGGATTTACCCATATTTGGTCTCTATACTTGTTTGAATTTTTTTTATTGAGACCCTCCGTAATTTTTCACCTTAATTGGAACTTCTACTCTTATAAATTTATTGATTCGGACTCTTCATTAACTATTCATACGACGTTTCATGTTAAAATTAATGGTAACCAATCACAAATAGACATGGAGCTTAGTGGTCCTAAGTAAGTACTTTTGTTAAACAAAAATTATTAAAATAATATTTACTATTTAAAAATTATTTACAAAGACCACATTACCCTAACTCTATTAGCTAGAAAAACTTACTCCCTGGATCCTTAAAATTTAAAGGAGATCGTTTGAACATAATCTTTCATTCTTTCTTCAAATCCTTCCAACAACCATTATGTTGCTTTGAGTTCCATTATTGATATTAAAGAAAGTATATGTACTTTCCTTTGCTTAAGTCATTGACTTGCTCGTTATTATAATGTATGTTTGCAAATTAACATGGAGAAAGTTAGTGTGCTTGTTACAACGGGGTGGGTGGTCTTATTGTCTTTTCCGATGGGGTTATATCTTTAACTAAGAAAGGACACGGAAAAATCACCCCATTTTTTATTCCTTATGCTATAAAAAACATGGGTTCTACCTTGCTTGCAATTGAACTTAGTTTTATGGGTTCAAATTACTCTACGTCAACTCGCTTTTAATTATTGCTCCTATGCTCGTCGCTAATCGCATTCGCCATTCATTGGTAGAAGAAAAGCTACTATCATTTGTATTGGTGAATCTATGATATGTATATAACCGAATTCACATGTAGTGTACCAAGTCGGTTCAATGGTAATTCCAGACTTGATCTTGGCTTTTATTAGATAGGAGAACCGACCCAATTAGCCAAATTAGCTTGCCAATTTTACACCAAAAGTATTACAATACAACATAGCTCCGAGTTAGTGTAGGTGCCCAAGATCTAACCATGTTTGGATGGGCTTGAGTTAATGTATTATTGCATTATTTATTTAATAATAACAAAGAAGTCATTCTATTAATTCTTGTATTTTATGTTTGTAAATTCAGTAAAATTAGATAGAAGTCCTTATGATATGCATTTACAATAGTGATTGATTAAAAGATGTGAGACAAACACTAATACATATAAATGATTTCATTAAACGTCCCAAGTTATAGCATTATCAAGAATGAACATTGAATATATGCAGATAGACTTGTGAGTGCTATGCTCATACTATATGATAGCGAGTTGGAGATCTTACACCTATTGGCATGGTGATACCAAAACAAGCACTTGGCTTATTTATGTTAGAGAACATATCACTGGACTTGACTCACCATAAGAACCCATTTAGTTTTAGTCTTTGAGAATCTCATACAAGATGGGTACAAATGGTCCTTAGACTTGAAGTCATTACGATTTTCGTATTAGAGGATTTATACACTTTGACACTCGTTTTGATGGACTTATTAAAGGATTCCACATGAGCGATTCATTAGGTGCACTA